ATTTGATTTACTGTGATACCCACCATGGGCCATTTAAATTTTAAAGAGCGCTAGCTGTTAAATTCACTAAAATTCTGTTTCGTTTGTCTGTTACTCCTCACACGCATCTTTTCCCTCCAAATCCTTAGAATTTGGGATTTAGCCTGGTCAGTAGATCAAAATGAGGAGCTGATTATGACATTGTCCTTCCTGAGAAATAAATATGCCATCCTCTGCTTCCCTTGCCCTAGAGTCTGAGGTTACTGACTCTCTGGGCCTTTATGCAGAGCAGGGGTGATAGTAATCCCACCTCATCTGGCTGAAAGGAAGATTAAATGAAGTCATTTGCTGGGCTGTGGAGATGTGGACTTTCACTAAGGCCAGGTCCTTCCCTGAAGGAGGCCACACATGCATGGAGGAGAGAGAAACAAATTCATACTAATATCCTGGGAGAAGTGTAAGAGCACCACCTAGAAGACCATCGGGATGGATAGAGGTGTTGGAAAGGTTTTTCAGATCTGAGCTCTGAGAGAAGGCCAGTTGTGGATGAACTTGGACCCTGACTGCATTGCTGGTGTGGACTCACACCAGGCCTGGGCTTGATAATCAGAGTAAACACAACTTATTGCCCAAACAGGGACACATTTGTCAGTAAAGATGGTACTATTAATAATGATCTTGTAACGTCCAGGACTGTGAGGGCAAACGGGTTCAAGTGTCACTCTAGGTGATGACCCTTTGTCTCTTTTAGTGCCTTCCATGATTTCTGGTCTCTTCTTTTTTGCTTGGTACTTTTAGAACTTCTTGAATACCCATATCCTGGCACAGCATAGCTGAAGTTGGGTAGATTTCTGGGCCTGGTAAAGTCATGGTGTGTAAATGCTGTGGTATGGAACTGTACATGTGGTGCACATCAGAGATTTTAGGCAGGTTGTGTGACCCTATCTATCTGTCTGTCTGTCCATCTGTCTACCTGTCTACCTACCTACCTACCTACCTACCTATCTACCTACCTATCTCCCTATCTACCTATCTACCTACCTACCTACCTACCTGAGTTCTAACTCATAGCGACCCTATAGGACAGAGTAGAACTGCCGCATAGGATTTCCAAGGCTGTAATCTTTACAGAAGCAGACTGCCAAATCTTTCTCCCATGGGTTCGAACCACCAATCTTTCAGTTAGCAGCTGAGTGTTTAACCACTGTGCCACCAGGGCTCCTATATATATGTAATAATTATTAAATAGTCATATCAAATAATTAATTATATTAAATATAATTTACATATAAAACAATATGTGGTGTTAATATTAATTATTAAAATATGTATGTAATATAGTAGTGATACGTATTTAGCATAATTATTAAAAATTTTTACACACAAGGAGATTGAGGCCTAGGGGGTTAATTTCTGCAGGGAGGGCTCCATAGATAGCAGCGCTGATGGTTCTCACCCTATCTTTTGGACATTGCTTTAAAAATCTATTTAAAAAGAACTGTTTATTTGATAATGAGTTTGATGATCGAGGGGTAAGCCTTCTTCTTAATGCTGTTACGTTGGTTCTTGAAATTTAGGGTTAAGAAATTTTTAAAAAGTGGTTTGAAGCTTAAAAAGAAGGGAAGGAGGTATAAAACATTGTAGTGTTTAACGGAGAGTAAAAAAAAATTGTGAATGCTTTTTTAAATTGCTCTGGAGGATGATATTAAAGATGAGGAAATTGCTGTTGAAGAGATTCAGTTGAGTACATTTCTTGACTCTCCTAGTGTCTGCCCACGCATTGTTACATGCACACAAAGGATGCTAATTTGTCAGTAGTACTCAGAATGGTGGTAGCAACAGTGAAAACTTATTTACTGAAGATGATCAAATTTCTTGACCCCCTACTGGGTATGCCCAGGCATTGTCCTGGGTTATACAAAGATGAAATTAGCACTCTCTGCATTTAAACTGTTTGCTGTTTAGAAGATAAAAGAAGACTGTGTGTACTAGACCAACAGGGAGCTACAAGGATGGTGATGACAAATTCCAAACGGAAATTTAAACACAGGTTTCAGAAGTTGTAGGAATGGGGAAGACAAGGGAGGGTTGGGGGTGGGGGGACCCCAAGGGGAAGAGTCGAAGTTGATTTTGGCCTTTACACCAAATTAATTTTGACATTTTTGATAATTTTCCACTTTCACTGGACCTCGTGTCTTTTCACTCACAAAGGAGGTAGACAACCACAAAGCAGGGAACTTTGTCAAGGAAGCAAGCTCTGGCTGCTCTTCTGTGGTCATTACCCATTAAGCACTTTTTTTTTTTGTTAGCCCATATAACTATATCCATAGCTCCGTGGTTGTTGTTCATAGTGATGATTCAGAGTCATTAGGAGAAGATTACATTTCTCTTCAAGAAGGTAGGGGCATGGTAATGTGTCTTAGAAAATTGTACATTAAAAAGAATTGAGAATGTAAAAGTTTTGGAAAACTCCAGTTTCTAAAAGATTTACATACTGGGAAAGGATTTTTTTTTTCCCCACTTTGTCTCAGAGCGCCCAGTGTAACAGACATTGTATCGCGTTCTCACTTTATTTTTCCTGATCTAGGCTTGCTCGTGTATAGTGCTGTCATCTCCTCTTTGAATGAATTTCTTCTCTTTTACTTGAAATAGGACCAGGTAGGGTATTAAGTGGTACTGTGTATGTAAACTTCATTAGTCCATTGTCTACTGTTTTTTAATCTCATTGACTATTAGAGAGGCTTCATCTAAGATACTCACGACTTGTTTTGTACATTTGTCAGTTTTTGCCTTTGGCCAACGTTAAATTCACTTGGGTAACACTTTCATGTGATATTAAATTATTTTCAACTTACCAACAAAAAGACAAACAGCTCAGACAAAAATGGACTTGAATAGACATTTGACCAAAGAAGAAAATACAAGTGGCCAACAAGCACATGAAAAAATGTTCAGCATCATTAGTCATCAGGGAAATGCGAATCAAAACTACAATAAGATATCATTTCACCCCACTGAGATGGCTATGATTAAAAAAAAAAAAAAAAGGAAAACAACAGGTGTTAGTGAGAATGTGGAGAAGTTGGAACCATCATCCATTGCTGGTGGGGTTGTAAAATGGTACAAATGCTGTGGAAAACAGTTTGGTGATTCCTCAGAAAGTTAAACATAGAATTACCATATGATCCAACAATTCCACTCCTAGATGCATACCCCAAAGAACTGAAAGCAGGAATGCAAACAGAGACTTGTACACCAGTGCTCATAGCAGTGCTATTCACAATAGCCAGAAGGTGAAACAACCTAAATGCCCATCAACAGATGAATGGATGGACAAAATGTGGTATATACATATGATGGAATATTATTCAGCTATGAAGACAAAAGTCCTGATACATGCTACAACATGAATGAACCCTAAAAACATTCTGAGTGAAATAAGTCTGTCATAAAGGGACAAATATTGTATGATCTAACTTATATGAAATATCTAGAATAGGCAAATATATAGAGACCAGAGTTTATTAGTGGTAACCAGGAGGGAGGGGGAAAGAGAGAGTCATTGCTTAGGGAGCACTGAGCTTCTGTAAAAGATGATGGAAAACTTTGCACAACATAATGAATGTAATTAATGTCACTGAACTGTACATATAAAATGTTTTTTATTAGTAGAAAATGTTAAATGTCACTACTAAAATGGAATATTTACCGAATCTTATTTTTTTTGAATGTGTAGTCTAAAATAACTCTTAAAGTTGTAAGTAAATGCCTTTTCTTTTTTACCCAGTTATAGAGACCTTTGGAACCCTGTGCACACCCCACCTGTGCTCGTTTACTGCCTCATTCACACACGAAACATGATGACTGAAGAGAGCTCAGTCCTCGCATTCTTCCTGATATAGTCATTTGCTTGTGATAAAAACAGTTCTGTTTTTGCTCATAAACAGTTCAGACCTTTCAGCTTGTCTGGACATCATGCTGTTTTACATCCTTCATTACACCTTATGAGAAAAATGCACGTAACCGCAAAGCAGGGAATTTTAAGAAGCTGCAAGGAATTGGGGGCTGAATACAGCACAGTTTTATCATGGGGAAGAGTCCCTGGGTGGCGCAAATGGTTAAACGCTTGGCTCTAACAGAAAGGTTGGCAGTTTGAACCTACCCAGAGGTGCCTTAGAAGAAAGGCCTGGCAGTCAGCTTTCCCAAAAGTCACAGCTGTGAAAACCCTGTGGAGCACAGTTATACTCTGCAACACATGATGTTGCCATGAGTCAGAATCTACTCAGCAGCAGCTGGGTGGTTGGTTGGTTATTATAAGGACAAAATGGCCAAGTTTATGCCTGAAACCAAAAAACCAAACTTGTTGCTGTCGAGTCTGTTTCAACTCAAGGTGACCCCATGTGTTACAGAACAGAACTGAGCTTCATAGGGTTTTTTTTGGCAGCAGACTGTCAAGCCTTTCTTCCACAACACCACTGGGTGAGTTTGAACTGCCAACCTTTCGGTTAGTAGTCAAGCATAAACCATTTGCACCACACAGGTACCTCCTGTTTATGACTACAGGTGATCAAAAACACTCCTGTCTGCATGTGTAATCAAATGCTTAGTAAACACTTTCTCACAGTGAAAATATAATGTAACTATTGCTTGTTGTGTCAGGCCTAGTAAGAAGAGTATGAACTATATCATTTTAAAATCATGGTTTGTTTTATTTATATATCTCACTTATGTGGCTGTGTTTGACATTTGATAGTCTATCTGTTGAGTCTTATTAGAACCTGAGGATCAGGGGGTTTAAATGTTCTAAGAGGATTTCCTTTTCATAGTTGCTGTTGGGAGACTAAAGGAGAAAACAAAAGTCAAGTCTGCTTTATAGTTACCGAAATGAGTGTTGACAATGTGCGCTCATAAAATCCTATCAGCACTTTATTGGGACAATTAAATAATGTGTAACTGGTAGCATTAAAGGCAGCTATGGAAAGAGTAACTCTGACCTACGTTTTTTGTTTTTTAATTTTTAGATTTGTAGCCAAACCATGTGCTATAGCCCTCAACATTCAGGCCAATGGACCACAGATTGCTCCGCCAAATGCCATTCTGGAAAAGGTCTTCACTGCAATTACAAAGGTATGATTGCCCTTTCCTGGGGTTTGAACTCTCATAACCACCATTCTCCACCTGAAATCATTCAATCCTTCTCTCCTGGGTTTTAAGAATCAACTTTTCCTCAGTCTCATGCTGGAAAGCGTGCCCTTGGAAGGAGTGCAAACATTGTGACTCAACCAAAACAGGTAGAAGCTGAATAAACAAGAGTGTTCGAAGCATGTTAGTTTACTCTCAAGATGATTCTTGAAGCTTGTCTGTGAAGAACTGTCTAAATTAGATAGGGATCAGTTTAATTCTGTGCCTCTTTTAATCTCATGTGACATGAAGCAATACTTACAAGAGCTGTGTGATACTTTGAGGAGGTGACTGGGTAGAGCTGAGAAATGTGATTTCTGTGTATGTGAAAAAAAAATGCCTGTTTGCTTATAGCATTGTCCATGTATTCTAGGAAACAAAGAAACAAACAAACCTGTTGCCGTTGAGTCGATTCTGACTCAGGTGACCCTATAGGACAGAGTAGAACTGCCCCATAGGGTTTCCAAGAAGTGCCTTGTGGATTCAAACTGCCAACCTTTTGGTTAGCAGCCCTAGCTCTTAACCACCACACCATCAGGGTTTCCAAGTTGTGATAAATAGACAAATGTCAACAACAACAACAACAAAAGGAATAATTGAAGAAGAAAAGAGTTGCCACATAAAGGAATGAAGGACCAGGGTCAGGAGAGGTATAAGTGAAGACCTAGGTTCACTGTGAAGAAGAGAGGAGAGAATTAATCTGGTGGGAGTTAAAGTTCAAACTGTAAATAGGATCAAGAGAGCAGATGATGGAAAGGAGGAAGGATAGGGAATGTCTGCCTCCCCTCCTGCCCTCCAAATTGATATCTCCATAAGAACAAAGAAGGAGGAGAAATATAGAAGTCAGAAACCTTCAACTAAGGCTGTAAGAAAATAAAGCAAATCAGAGAGCCCGTATACCTTATAGTTGGTGAGGTACTCTGGCTTGAGTAAGAAAGAAGAAAAGAAGAGTAACATCCTATGAGAAGTATTACGTGCTCATATATTAAATGGTTTGTTTTTGCTCTTTTTTTTTTTCTTGGAGAATTACTCAGGCTTCTAAAATGCAATTTGACAGTGTTAAGCAAATTTTGTTCCATTTTTGGTATTTGTGTTGCTAATCATTTGCACTACTTGTCTCTCGTCTTAAAACGAGTAATTCAAATATCCAAGCACTTTTGCTTATTTTATGATCTTTATATATGCCAAGATTCCCTATGGTTTTTTTCCTCTGTCCTTTTAAAAATGACATTTTTCTTGGAAAAGTATTAAAAAAGCACCAGGTATTTTTTTATATCTCTACTAATAAGAAGAGAAGAATCAATGGAATTTTAGGCAAAGCTCTTTTGATAGTTTTGTTTGATGATTTTAGATTGTCAAGTTCCAACCTGAAGGGACACATAGCCTATGGTATTTAAAGGGAGAAAATATTAGGGAAAAACTTGCATTTTCATTCAGTATATCAATTTACTGGACCAAAACACCTTTTTCCCTCTAAAAAAATAGATGTGTAAGGAGTTATGAGGTTCATTTTTTAATGTGATTGCAACATATTTCTGTTTACTTTTGAGCTACTCTAGATGCATTAAACGACAATATACTGAATGGATAACAAAATGAGTTTTCTACCCAAATTTTATGCATCCCTTTAGAAATCTTGCAGTGGGCATTTTATTTCCCTTTCATTATATTTATTATGATTACTGGAGAAATTTCCTCCATAAAGATAATAAAATGGTTTTGTAGCCTGGTTGACTGCTCTAGAGAATATTTGCTTCTAGCTAATTATAATGATCATATTCTCTTAGTTTCCAAGGTGATTCCTTTGGAGGTCTTTACATGATTAAAACAGAAGCCTGATGCTTTGAATATAAATGCAGCAAAAGTTGGAACTGCTTTTCCATGTATTCTTTGTAGTTCTCCAGTCTTATTTGTGACATGAAAAAGTAGCAGGTCAGTTGACTGGATTAGGAGGAGCAGAATTTGAAGAGGATTGAACGGTACCAGTAAGTGTTTGAGTGATCATCCAGCGTCCTGATTTTGACCACTGTTCCAAGTGACCTTTTGTAGAAGGCCATGGCTGTCATCCTTCAACTGTATAGGGATGTGTCCTCAGCAACACTTTAAATCTGCTCCGTACTAGACCGGCTATATAATTTGTGCATCCCAGTGCAGAGTGAAAATGTGGGACCTCTTGTTCAAAAAAGCATGAAAAAAATGTCATTAAAGGTACAAAAATATAAAAAGTAGTGTTTCTATCTTATTATAAAAGTGTAATTCAGGGCAAAAAGCATTAACTGAAATGAAGAATTAGCTTTTTGTTGCCAAAGGATATAATTCACAATGAAGATGAAATAGTTATGAATATATATATATATGCATTAAATATCAGTGTATCCACATTCATAAATAAGAATTAAAGAGAAATAGCAATACAATAGTAAAAAAATTTTATTTGCTTCTAGGTTATGATAGATCAAGTGAAAAAAAAAACGGAATAAATTTTGAGAAGTATAATTAACTAGGAAGATCTAAAGGGCTACATTTAGAATCTTATACCCTGAATATAGAGAATATACTTTCTTTTGAAGTGCCTATTAAGTATTTACAAAAATTGAACCTGCATTATACTACAAAACAGATAATAAATTTTAAAAAATCAGATACATAATAATAGTCGAAATTAGAAAATAGAAAAATCAGAAAATAGAAAGCCTCTAATGTCTGGATATTTAAAAATGTTTATATTAATAAATTCCTGAGTCAAAATAAAATTTCAGAATATTTAGAAAACAGTGATAATGAAACCACTAAATATATGTACGATTAGAAAGCAGTGCTGAGATGAAAACATGTATATAGAAAACATAATCGAGCACTTACTGAAACATTAAAAAAAGAACAACAAAATAAATGAAAGTAAGTGGAAGGAAGAAATTAATAAAAATAAAAATAAAAGCAGAAGTTAAATGTTAGCAAAACTATAGAATTAAAAATTAATCCAAAAGTACCCTATCTGTTTTACTTTTTCACAGCCAATCCAATGAAGAAAAAACTGAAGAAAGCACAAATTTACAACATAATAATTAATACCAACATAATAATTGACAACCACAGAAACAGACTAAAATAAGGAAATAGACTTCTATTAATTCTCTATAAATAAAATTGAAAAACTTGGATAAAATGGAAAATGTTCTAGGAAAATATAATTTACCAAATACAATGTATTCTGTATATATGTATGTGTATGTAAAGAACCAAATTCAAAGAGCTAGGCTGCAAAAAGTACCAAGTCCGGATGCTTTCACAAGAGAATTCTAACATACCCATATAGAGTAGATAATTCCAGTGCTGTTTGGGCTATACCAATGCATAAAAATTAAGAAAACCATCCAAATTCTTTTTATGCAGCAATAAAATATTAATATCAAACCTGACACCAAAAAAATAAGATTAGAGACTAATCATGCTTAATATTGATGAAAAAAATCCTAAATAAAATTTAGCAAACAGAGTCTAGCAGTACATTAAAAGAATTGTTCATCATTACCAAATAGGGTTTATTCTAGGAATCCAAGGCCTTCCCTGTATTCAGTATGAAAAAATCTATAAATATAATTAACTCATTGTATTAATAGATCCAAGGAGAAAAATCATATGATCATATATATATGGATACTGAAATCTAACATTATTTTGATTAAAAAAAAAAAATCTAGGAATAAGTGGTTTCTTTTACATGATAAATACATTTGTATCTTGGCCCTAATTTGTCCGATTTTACATTGAATTAGCAAGTAGATATGAGAAAAATAAGAAAAGCATAAAAAGAAGAAAGGAGGAGGTAAAACAATTGCTATTTGAAGATTCATTCTTTCATTCAACAATTATTCATTGAGTCCCTACTATATTCTAGGTGCTAGTGGGGAAAAAATACTAAAAATTCCCTTTTATATGGTGCTCACATTCCAGAAATAAGCTATTATATGATTGTATACCTGGACTATATGAAGAAGAACGTGGCATCAAGATTGGAAGAAGACTCATTAACAACCTGCGATATGCAGATAACACAACCTTGCCCTTGCTGAAAGTGAAGAGGACTTGAAGCACTTACTGATGAAGATCAAAGACTACAGCCTTCAGTATGGATTACACTTCAACATAAAGAAAAAACTCTCCCAACTGGACCAATAAGCAACATCATGATAAATGGAGAAAAGATTGAAGTTGTCAAGGATTTCATTTTACTTGGATCCACAATGAATAAGGAAGACTGAAGAAGAATTGATGCCTTTGAATTATGCTCTTGGCGAAGAACGTTGACTATACATACCATGGACTGCCAGAAGAAAGAACAAATCTGTCTTGGAAGAAGTACAGCCAGAATGCTCCTTAGAAGCAAGAATGGTGAGACTTCGTGTCACATACTTAGGATATGTTATCAGAAGGAACCAGTTTCTGGAGAAGGACATCATGCTTGGTAAAGTAGAGGGTCAGCAAAAAAGAAGAAGCCCCTCAATGAAATGAATTGACACAGCGGCTGCAGCAACAGGCTCAAACATAGCAACGATTGTGAGAGTGGTGCAGGACCTAGTAGCGTTTTGTTCTGTTGTACATAGGACTGCTGTGAGTTGGAATCAACTGGATGGCATCTAACAAAACAACATACCTGGAAAATTAAGGGAATGAAGTGAAAAATTACCACAAACAATATAGAACTTTAGTACAAAATTAATACACGGAAACCAATGGCTTTTATATATGTATGCTATCAAGAAGCAGTTAGAAGATATAAGTACCTTATTTACAATAGGAACCTAAAAGGAAAATATTCTTAGGAATAAGTGTAACAAGATATTTACAAAACTTTTTTTGAAGAAAAATCTAAAACTCTCTTGAAGAACACAAAATATGAATAAAGATGTTCATTCACCCTGTGTTAATTTAAGAATTTAGCGTGA